GATGAAGTGGGCTGTAGCCCACGAAAGCTTATGCTCAAATAAATTTCTTCGTCTCTAAGGTGCCACAAGTACTCCTAGTATTTACCACCTGTTTCTGGACAGCGGTATCTGAAGTACCATAGATTTCCCTCTTCTAGGTGCAGGGAGCCACTGTGGTGTCTCAGATATCACCGTGTGGTAGCTGCTGGCAAATGCTGACTTTTTAATGGAAACCACCGTTGGGCTGGGTGTGTAAAGAACCAGTTCCCAGTATCACTGGGCAGGCATTGAGGTGGGAGGAAGGAACAATGTTCCATACGTCGAAGAATCAGGATAGGATGTACAGGAGGCTATCAGCACCGAGACCCCAAAGACATGCTCAGGGAACGTTGGCCAGCGTGACAAAAATGTCACATTCTCAAGAGATCATACATGAGGAACACATCAGCAGGGATTGAAGCTGGAAAGTTCTAGACTCAGATAAGCAGGTGAGACTGAAAAGTGGAGGCTTACGGGGGAAAAAAAAGATTTAAGGGAGGAAATTTAATAAAACCTGAAACGTGCCCTGGCATGTTATTAAAATAGGAAGAAGCCTGTGAAAATGCTTTAATACTCTTATCGCTTTGGTTCTATTGCCCCTTTGGTCGCTGTTTTTGTTCCTAGCCAGAAAATGCTAATGAAAACAAAGGTTACATATGTCTGTAGGTTGATAAAAACCAAGATAAACGGGGACTACTCTCTGACACAGAAAAGGGTTTGTTCCTGGTGCCGTCTGGTTTTGATGAAGTGAAAATGCCACAACTGACATTAGGATGGGACTTGATTCATTTCCCTGTCTCTGCTCCTGGTTTTAGTGTAAACACATGTTTTTACTGTCTCCACACAGCTGCATTTTTATCGATACCAGATGTCCAGCAGGTTTGTGCATTCAGAGCACAACAGAACTCCCACATATGCTTTTAATTCCTGTTATTCTAGAGAAAGGGAGTTATCAGAGAGCAGATTTCACACCGGGATAAACTTTATCATGATAAAACACATGCACTAACACACAAACAACATGCTTTCCATATGTCATGTGTTGCTTTATGGTCTTCCATGCCCCTGCTCCTGACTAATCAAAGATATTTGATCTTCCCTCTCACAGCCTTTCTCCTCCTCTTTCTTGAGTTTGCAGCATCAATCATTTCCATGGCAACATACTAGGCTAGCATAAACATAGCATAAACTTAGGAATAGAAGCTCTTCCTCACTTAGTTTGAGTAGCTTCTCCAATATAATTACTTTCAAATATAATAAGACAGGAAATCAGAGCCATAGAATCCTCTATCGGGTTAAATACAGAGAACAGCAATCTAGTTCATTCCACTGCCACAGCAGGACAATCCCCTATGGCATGTGCCTTAACGGCCAGATTTATAGAAGTACTTAGGTGCTAAAGATGCAAGATAGATGCCTAGTGGGATTTTCAAAGTGCCTAGGTGGTGCCTAACTCCCAATGGGTGCCTGAAGTCAGTGCCTCAGAGTTAGGCATCTAGGCACTTTTGAAAATCCCAGTCGGCATCTGTCTGTAACTTTAGGTTCCTAAATACCTTTAAAAATCTGGCCCTAAATGCTTTGTCTAGTTAATTTTTAATGACTTTAGTGATGGGACTTTTATCACTTTCCTTGGGAGACTGCTCTATGACTCAACAGAACACTTTTCTCTGATATCCAGCCTAATTTTTCCATTGATTAACTTCATCCCATTATCTCTGTAGTAGCCACCCTAAACTATTTTTCTTCAAACACATTAAAGGCCTTATCCAACCCACGATGAAGTCAATAGAACAACTCCCAATGGCTCTTAGACCCTAAAAGTGGGACTCCCTGGTCCACAAAGTGACTGTCTAGAGTCCGAAATCGCACTTACTTTTTTTGGCAGGCATATCACCTTGTGAGCACACATACCAGGCGTCATCACTGTCACCATTAGTTCTCTCTCTAGATAGTAGTTTTTCCCGAGTACCTCCCTGCTACTCTGGGAGTTGCTCTCACCAGACATACTAGCCTGCATTTATCAGGATGTATCACATTTTATTATTTCCTGCCCATGTTTCTGACCTCTCTATTAGAGACTCTGAAGAATTGTTTCTCTGTCTGCGCTGAAGTTTGCAACACCTCCCCGTTTAGTGTAATCTGGGAATTCAGTTTCTGGCATTGCACACAGCTCTTGGTACAATGTTCTATTTATTCAAGTCAGCCCACTTGTAAAAGCCCCTCCCTAATAACCCACTCAGCCCAGAGGCAGCACTTACGGATTACTTCAACTTTATATGTCGCATTGATTTCTCCAACTTTGTTAAACACTCGGCAAGTGTATTTCCCACTGTCCTCAGGCTTTAAGTTCTTCAAATTCAATGTCCACTTCTTCTTCTTGTTCTCCCCAATCTCCTGAGGTGTGAGGGGCTTATTGTCCTTCAGCCAGGTGATGTCAGGCCTAGGGTTCCCACTGGCAACACACTTCAGGCGGACTGAGCTTCCTACAGGCCGTGCAATCACCCTCCGTCGCATCTTGGCAGGTTGCGTGAATCTGGGCCGGGCTGCAAAGGACACAAAGGGTTGATTACACTAAGCAAGGTGCATGATGGACCATCCAACCAGAGCACTGCACTGCCATCTATAGGGACTGCCGGCATTGTTTCTGAGACACCCTACTCCAAATGTGCAAGAAATGCCCAAGCATCACTACTGCATACACTGGTCCAGTGTGGTTCCTTCATAAAAATAAGTACTACATAGGTTCATAGATTTTAGGGTCAGAAGGGACCATTTCATTCACTGGTTTGAATTCCTACATAAGACAGGCCATAGAATTTCACTCTATAATTATGGCAGTTGATTATAGCGATGTCATAAAATAATACCAGAGTCACCTGTATCTCAGGGCAGAATTTGGCCTCATAGTTTCCCTTAGCAGTATGGCCACCTTTCAGGACACAGCTACAGAATTCTATGCTTTGCATTTCTTGGGTTCAGCTGTGACCAGAAGCAGAATACAGAATTCTATAAGGTTGATTGTTCTTCTGGTCTATTTCTGATCATCCAGAGAGGAGATAATCACCCTCCACACCTGGTTTTAATGGGACTTGAGAGTGCTCAGCAACTCCCCAAATGGGGCCAAATGCTGCAGAGAGTCAGAGAAATTGTACAAGGAACCTGCTCTCTCTGTAACTTGAAGCCAATTTTACAAGGTCCAGAGGTTCAGACTGTCCAGATGAGCATGCAGAGTTCTGAGTGTTGATCTGAACTGAACTTTCTGAGATTCATCCAGCATTAATTTATGAAAAATTCATAGTAAAAAGCACTCTCGTTCAAAAAATCCCCATGAAGAGGTTAGGAAGAACTACTCATCCAAATGACAGGTGAGCAGAAACATGGCGCAAGGCTGTTCCGTTCCAATAGTATCTGGAAGACTTAGCAATGGGTAATGGGTTCTGCTGCAACCTTGTCTCCTCAGGGAAGCACAAGTTCTCAAGTGGAAGCTCACAATGGGCCAAATCCTGACCTCACAAAAGTCAACAGGAAGTGCAGGATTTACAAAAGCACCCAAGGGAATTAGGCGCTCAGTTCCTAATGACTTTTAATGACATAATTTCAATTATTCATTAAATTCCACAACAGAATTTCAGGGAAAAAAGGGAGTGGGGTAATATTATCCACATGGCTTTAATAGCTTTGCACTGTGTCCTTTCTGTAAAGTAACTGGATGGCCTGATTTACCAATATGATTAAAAAAAAAATCTATTGAAAAGCTCTCAAAAATTGCTACAGTGGAATACGGCAGTTTCAAGGCCAGAACCTTGTCTAAGAGTGGCCTGTAATGAATGATTCAGAAGAAGGTATAAATCTCCCACAATTACTCTCATTATGCAATACTACACCCGGGGCATTTCTTAGTGCAATCTCCTGCCAAGCCTACTTCCACTTCCTCCTCTTCAGCCTACCTAACTCCCACCTGGCAATCCTCCAATCTATCCAAAACACTCCAGCCAAACTCACCTTCCTCTCTCACTACTGTGACCTTGCCAGTCCCATCTCAGATTCCAGTTAGTGGCTCCCTGTCAGACTCAAACTCCTTTCCCTCACTATTCCTCTACACAGCTCTGCCCCATTACATCTTGTGTCTTGCCTCCCCTAAATCTCTCACTCAGGCCCAGAGCAAAGCCCCTTTTGCACTTTCTCACTTGCTGTCTCCTGTGTTGGATGTATCCTCTGTGATCCTTTCCTCCTTCAAACACCCTCCTCCAAGCCCCCTTCCTTTCTCCATGTCTCCAATGACCCACCCTCCCCCACCAGCCTAATGAAATCTAAATTAATAGCTCTTCCTCCCAGCCCCAAAGGGAGCTGACAAGATGCATGCCTTGCCTTGAGTGCAACCTTATAACCTTCCTTCGTGTAACATCCCTTCCCTTCCTTCCTGTCACCTGCTTGGCCGCTGCCATCTCTCCTGGCACCCTGTCGTGATGTGTCTCACCTAGCGCGTAAGGGCCTTGGGGCAGGAGCTGCATCTTTAATTCTATCTGTAAAGAGCCATGCAAATATTGAATAGGTGGATGTGACTGGCCTTCTCTATGACACACTGGGGCAGGTTGCACCGATTAGCCACTGGCCCACATTGTTGGGGAGTGGGTCACAGCAGCAGAACAGCTGTGGGAACGCCAGGAAAGCTGTGCTGGAGGTGCTCTCCCTGAGCTCCCCAGTGCACAGGGAGAGTCTCACTACACTTCCTAAGGGGGCGCAGCAGGCTCCCTGACTGTGCATCCAGGCAGCTCTGTTCTCCAGTGCACAGGTGTGGTGGGGCCATGGTCCATGAGGTGTCCGTAGGGGCACAAGCCGTGAGCAGTCCCTGTGCTCAGGAGAGCACAAGCACTGGTATATGAAGGGAGAAACTCCCCCTGCAGTCCCCACCTCCACGTACAATCTGGCTCATTATGAATGAGCTGCTCACTCTAGTGTTTTTTGTGGCTTCACAGCGGTGGCAAAAATTACAGCCTGAGCTCTGTTGGAGGCTGGTTTATGGCCACTGTGCCACTCCTGCTCCGTCCCCTCACCACTTGGGAGTGGGACAGGCTGGCGTGCAGCTCCCCGGGTGTGAGGATGTTGGCGCGCAGGCCTCACACCCTTGAGGAAAAGAAGCCGGACCCCTCACAGATCTGTGTGTGTGTCACACACACTGGCCTCAGACCCAGCCACGCTCTCTGGGAAGGAGGCTGCCCATGGCGCTTCTTCTCTTCAAGGCCCTTTCTTATGTGAGCAGCCGCCCTCCCCTCACAGCCCCCCGGCTGTCATTTTGGATCTCCGCCATGTCATGTTATTTCAAACCCTGGTGCAGAAATGCTTCACTCTCCACGCAGGGGCTTTCATGTGTAACCTAATGAACCGGAGCAACTCCAGCACTGAATGTACTACCAGCGACAGCTGGGGCGGTTAGAGTCACATGCTAGCCCATTCCATAGGTTTCCGTGTGTAAACTGCTGGGTATTCCCTTGATCATCTCCTGAAACCAGAGGCCTCCTATCTAGTAAAAACAATCACACTCCCAGAGAGATAATTAACCCGTTCAGCACCACGCACTGGGAGCGCTCGAAACCATGAGCCACTGTCCTGGAGACAAATGCCAATAGGACCACAGGGTGCATTCATTATGGCTGTGGAGTGTCTGTCTATGAGACACAGAAGTGGTTAACATCCAGCAGTGAAATGGGTCTAAATGGTTATCTTTTAACAAGGCAATAATTTACTCCGTGCACATGAACTGAAGCCCATGTAAGGGTAGATTTTCGCTGGATGGGATTTCCACACTAGCATTAGCACTTCACAGTGCAGGTCCAGAATAGGCACATTCACTAATATTTTTTGTACTGACCGATGAGTCACATCACTGACTTTAATCTTGGAACTTCATGTGTAACAGCCCATACCTGCCCTCTGCTTGCATAAAAATATGTCAATAGGGTTTGTTTCCCCACCTAGTCCCTGCACAGGGACAATATTGTAAAGCAGGGTCGGCATTTTCCTCACTACAGTCAGGACAACAACAGCTCAGTTTGCTTTCACTCCTATCGCATCCCTCGAGAACTTTTGTTTGGAGTCCTGTGTTCACCCCTCTGACAATCCCTCTCTGAGACATGGCAATCTACAGGTAAAATAATACTTTTTCAGGCGTTTCCCCCCCTTTTTCTTTTAGAAGGTTAAGTGATTACTGTGGCCTCAAAAGCTGCTCCATCCTGTGTGCGATACACTGAAACCAGATCCCATTTACACAGTCCTGAAAGGTTTCCTTGACAAAAGCTTGAATTGGGCAAGTTCAGAGAGGCCAGTTGACAAAAGGAGAGAGAGACGCACACACAGAGAAGAAAGAGCGAGCGTGAGGGAGTGAGAGGCCGGGAGCACTGTGAGTTTGCATTTACTAAATGGCATCCAAAATCTGTATCATCTACTGAAGATTTGCTTGCTGAACTGCTAGAGGACCCTTTTGCAGTGTGAGGGAGACCCTGGCGCATGCCTATCTGGAATGCACCAGGTTGCAGCCCCTTTTCCGGCTCCTCCAGAACCTCTTGTTGAGGTTCTGGCTGCACTTTTCCCCACACCTCTTCATATTCGCACACCCCGTTTGTGGCCCCATGAAGGCGAGACTTCCTCATCAACCTCCTCCTGGCACTGGCCAAAGTGGCCATCTACAATACCAAGAGGAGGATGCTGGACGGGGAGGTGCTCTGTTCTGTTCCTCCCTTGTCTCACGTATCACGTTTCTCTGGGTGGCGTCCGCTGGCTCCCTAGACAGCTCTGAGGAGCAGTGGGTGCTATCCGGGGTTCTCTGCTCGGTGTCCCCTTCTGGATCCCTAGTTTTGAACCTATGATCCCCACTCCCAGCCCTGTTATTCCTTAGTTGTCCCCCATCATCAGTTGAGTCCCGGGTTCAGTAGCTCCTCCCCAAGGGTTGGGGGAGGGGCCTTTAGAGCCAGAGGACCCCATTACAGAGTGCCTCTATGTTATTTAGACTTTGCATGACTGTTCTCCCACACACCTTTCGGAGTTTGCTTTGTAAACTCCAAGAGCTGCACTTTGCTACAGTATAAACTATGCCATATGCAAGCGTGAGGGAAACACAAACTGACTGTGTCAAAGGGACAGTGTGTGCAGGTCTCCTGCTCTAACGCTGTTTATTACGAAGATTTATTCGGTGTAATTAAAATTAAATAATTAATGGCAAAATATCAAGCAAAAACTTGGTAGGAAGCAGTTTAACAGATTCCTTTCCTTGAGGAATAACTCACAGGTGGATGGATAAATCTCAGAGGTGCCTGCAGCATCCCCTTAACAGATGAGAGTTAACGCAGTGGTTGCAGAAATGTCCAATTTATCGTGATTGTCCACAATTACCTCTAGAGGGCACTTCTGCCACAGAGCTCAACTTCTGGCTCATGCCCCTTACGAGATTGAGGTCTGAAGACAGGTCTGCGTTTGCTTTTTTTCATGTGATATGTGCAAAATCTGTCCTGTGAGATTTCTAGAAGTGTGGAATAGCTGAATCTTCCCTCCTTTCTCTATAAAAATCTGCCATCTTCTCTCAAAATTACATCCCTCTTCATCAGCTTCCCAGGACAAAACAAGCACTGGCTCCTGGACCCTGTCTGCAGTCCTGTGCAAAAGAGATGCTAGCACTGTCCACATAATAATGTAATTAACTGCCCAGTGTTTATGTGCATCACTGCCCTCTCCTGGTAAGAATCGGAACTACAATACAATGGTATCATATACCCTCTACTGCCAACAGCTGGAGGAGATTATCCTTAGCTCAGGGGTAGGAGCCTGTCCTTTTGAAGCAGAATGAGCTCCATCCTCACTGTTGTCATGAGGTTACCAGCTGGCCATGTTTCACAACATGGTGGCTTCCCTGAAGTTGGTAGTCATGCATCTGTCACATTATTATATTTGGAATTTCCTATTTTGATGACAGCTTAGAGCTGCCCTGTTTGGGCAAGGGTAAATTCTTGAATAGGGCTCTTTAGACTGGATGAAATCTCTCAGAAATAGGTTTAGGAACATGGTGACAAATCACCAACCAAACTAAAAATATAAAAAAGGGATGAGCTGTAGCTGGGCCATAAAAGCAGAAATGAGATATGGCGCCTGACACCTCTGGGTTATCAGTTCAAATTCCTGCCCATGCCAGTAGTGGCCAAAAGTTGTTCTGTTTCTCCACAAAAAGCGTGTGGAGAATGGCTTGAACCAAACCCTGGGTCAGGACACTCGCAAACCCTGGAGCAGTTCAGAACCTTGTTTCGGAGCTGGACGTAGTAGCTTCTGCTAAGCCTATGACAAGATGAACAAAACACCTAAGTGAACCCTCCCCCACCCCCTCCAACAAACATAGCTATGCTGGCAAAAATCACTGTGTAGACACAGCTTATACAGGCAAAAAAAGTCCTCTTGCCAGTACACCTTCCATCAATCAGGGAGATGGTTCAACTGTATACTGGCTGAAGGAGTTCTTTTGCCAATCAACTGCATCTCCACTTGAGGGCTTTGTACTTGGTGATTTTCAGAAGAGCTCACCTAACTTTGCTCCTGTTGAAGCCAGATCTCTCATTTGACTTCAGTGGGAGCAGAGGTAGGCTCAGTGCTTTTGGAAATCCCATTATAAATTTCAATATGGTTTTTAATGGAGAATTTATGCCCAGTCATAATAAGGCTACCCATGGAAAGGAAAGCCACTGCCCCTGGAAACAAGTACAAGAAAGCACGATGCTAGGATATAGCAGACACTCAAGTGTGGATCACCAGCTACACTTCCTGGGGCAGGAGGACACTTAATAAAGGAAGGGATCAGTTCAGATTGATGCATTCAACTGAGATTCTATTTGACATTTGACCATCCACGGATACAAATTGATCTGATCACTGAATTCCTCTTAGGCTGCCTCTTCCATTCCTTCAGTGCAATGCGACATCGAGGCGGACTGCGATGGATATGGCGATGGATATGAACAGGGATGTGTGGGAAGCCAAAATATAATATATATCTGTCCCCTACCCCACTGCTTCCCAGAATGATCTTCATATTCGCCATTGGAGCCTTCAGACAGCGGGCTGTCCTTTCCTGAGCTGGCATCATCTGCAAAGAGAAAGAGAAGCTTTAAGAAACATCTCCTTCTACACAGCTGCCTTTGATAGGAGGTTGCATTGCCTTTGGGAGGCACTGTGCTGCCGCAAGGCACTTGAAGTGCATTTTGCATTCACTTCCTGGTGCTTGCAGCCTGGCCACCTTAATGAACAATTTTGCGTGCTGCTTTATGAGCTTTTCAGTAGGCTACTAACATGATGGGAGATTAATCAATGTTTCCATTAATAGCCGACAAAAGCCCTTTTGTTTATATTTACTGGTCACCGTTCCCTAGGAGGAGCTGATCCATTCTACCCTCCATGCAAATAATGATATACATCAAAATTACAGCTAATTAAACCCGGGAGGTGGGAGAGACTTATGTGATCAGTCATGCGGCGTGCAAGGAGTGGAATTCTGGCAACAGTTTTACCTTGCAGTTTCCATAAAAGATCAGGAGAGCAAGCAGGCTTATTGGGATCAAACGAACCTGGGAGAGTGCTGAATGTAAAGTTTTGGTCAGGAAGGCAACAATGTTGAGTAGACGGGCTTTTTTTTTTTTTTTTTAAACAAACTAAGAGCACTGGAATGAACTGGACTAAATTTATGATCCATCTAGTCCTGTTCCCCTATCATCATCATCTCTATTACAATAGCACCTAGCGTCCCCAGCTGAGATCTGCGCCCCCATTGTGCTAGGTGCTGCACAAATAAACAGTAGGAGAGCCCCTTCCCAGTCTAAATGGACAAGACAAAGGGTAGGAGGAAGTAAATATTCTTGTCCCCATTTGTAAAATGGGGAAACAGAAGTTCAGAGAATTACCCAAGGTCATATCATACGTCGCTGTCAGAACCAGGATTAGAACCCTTTTTTCTGGACAAAGCGATGACATCTCATTAACTATACCACAGCTTATCCCAGACAAGTCACTCAGGCCAGAATTTTCAAACATGGGACGGACCAAGATTCCTATTCCAGCACCTACTTAAGTGGCCTTATTTTCAGAGATGCTGGAAATAAAGTCAGTGGGACTTCTAACAGGGAGCTTGGAGGGCTGGGTGGCCTACTGGTTGGAATGCTTGACTGCCAGCCCCTTGCGTCGCTGGTCAAGGTGCCTCAGTCTTTAAGGCAGTTGGGTAGAGGGACCCAGGCCCTCCCTCTCCTCCGGGTCCCAGCCCAGGGCCCTGTGTGAGTCAACCCCTGGATACACTTCCCAGCCGGGAGTCTAAATCCACTGCCCTAGGTTACTTCTTATTGCTGTCCCTTCAGTGTGGGGCATGGCCCCTACAGTCCAAGTCACTGGGGTGGCTTGTCTCTAGTAGCACTCCCTTGTGGACCTTGGGCAGAGCCCTGCCACAGTCTCAGGCTCCTCTGGGCGGGGCAGCCCTAAATTTGGCGGGGCCGGAACCACACAAGGTCTCCGTGCTTCAGTCACCCAGTCATTTCTTAGCGCGGCTGCTCCTAAGTCTCTTCCACAGTCTCCTCAGCCAAGGAGATGGTATTATTTCCTGGTGGCTGCCTTGGCTGGCAGGCTAGTGAGCCTTCCCCTCAGGTAGGTAGGCAGCGAGCTCCTGCCTCTTCGCCAGTCAGCCCCAAACTGAGCCAGGTTCTCTCCTTTTCTTCCCCCTCCAGGCCTGGCATTGGCTGCAGGTATAACGGGGCAGGGCTAGCTGGGCACAAAGGCTCTCTTTAACCCCTTCCATGCTGGTGGGCAGTTTCTCCTCTTCATCTCAGGACTGTTCCCATAATTAAAGGCTACCCAATCAGAGAGTTGCCCTCAGTCATTGTGCACCAACCTCAGTGATACGAGTGTAAATTCCACATGCAGCTCAAGAGAAATATGTGACCTTAAGGTAAGAGTATGGGAGAGACTAAAGTTTTGATTGTACAAATCCTGAAACCCACATGAAAATATCTGGAGGCTAGAAGTGAGGAAAGCCTCGTTCTAATCTCAACTGCAGAGTACAGGGGAAATAACTCAGCACATACACAAGCGTGTCCAGAAACTCTAAGAAATAATGGATCTAGTCTTTGCAGCTGTTTAGCAAGGTGGATAATGCTTAAACAGTACAGTGAGCTCTGGCAGAGATTTTAAGGAAGAACAACATATATTTAACCCTCACTCTCCCCGCGTGGCACTCCCCCAATTACTGCCACGTTGGAAAATTGTGTGTGTTTTTAGCACCAGGAGTTTTATGCCTGCACGTGCGTTGCTCTCATTTGCTGCTGTGTCTTAAACAGCATCCAAGGAAAATGCCTGAGATGCCACGCAGGGCGTCCCCCCCACCCTCGCCCCAAACATATTTTTCTGCTCCGTCTCTGATTCGCCCAGCAAAGTTTCCCCAGAAATACGTGCAGCTGTCACTTAGGAGGGAAAAGAAAACTTCCAAGGCAGCAGTGCAGCTCACTGAAGCTGCCCCCCTTCTGTCACGGAGAACACAGAAGGCTTTCAGAAGGGCTGTGGCCAGCTCACACCCAATCCTTCTGGAAGCAGCATGAAATGGAATTGCCTAAGGCCCTTAAAGGCAACATTGACTAACCCCTCTGCCCCTCAATGAAAACATACAACACGGAGTCCTCCTTAGCTTGAATAATCAGCAGCCCATTCTGCACAGCCCCCCCCGAATGCATGGTAGGAAACAACCAATGCACTGCATCTTGCAAATGTAACTTTGCGACCTTTGAAAATGTAATGCAGTGAGTGTAAAAGAAAAGAAGAAGAAAACATCAGACATCAAGAAGACAAACTGGTTCCTTTCTGAATAATAATCAAATAAATTAAGCAGCAGCATTTATTTTTTTCTGTAAATATCAATATACTTGGAAATGGAATCTTGTAATTTTTTTTTTTACCAAATAACCAGGAAATCCCTTTGCACAATCAAAAACCACTTTGAGAGTAAAAGGGGGCAGGAGGGAGAAAAGCCATGGTCAAATATGAAAGAATTGCTGCCCATTGTTCATCTGCTGAACATCTTAAAAGTGGATAAGACGTTTAAGTGGCAATGTTCTGTCAATTATATCTTAATCCTACTCAGCTTGATGTACAAAGAGCGGCATACCCACCCTTGTCTCCTGCCTCATGTTACAGTATGTCAGCTCATGTGCAACCCCCGCTCTGCTTACACACACTAACTGACTGGCATTCTCAACACCACTTGACGTGCTGCCAAGCCTTTGATGTCAGCCAAATTGCTCCGAATCTGTTTGATCCTTTGAAGACGACTCTTTGCTTGTTATCCAGCCAAATCCCAAACCTGTGGAGTTACCTACAAGACCCAGGGAAAAAAATTTGAGGGAGGGCAAGGGGGGGCGGAAGAGGAGAGAACAGAGTAAAAATGAGTTATGGTAAAGGTACTCAGCCCATAGTGTAAATATCTCTCTGGGTGGAAAAGAAAAACACCCTTGGTAAATAATTACAGTATTTCACCAGAGTTTTTCAGATCCATCAAGTCTCGCACTGTCTGCGTTTGTTGTGATCATTGCACATCTAAAACCAAAACTCATAGCATATTCTAAAGAAAATAAATAAAACATTTTAGACTTGGAGCCTCAGATATAGTGAAGGGCTTTTTGGTTGGATGGGAGTTGTTTGTTTTTTTTGACTCAACAGCTTCACACTAAGTGGAGGGTCATTACAACGGGATCTGCACTCTTCAATGGAACAACCTGGGGCTCCCATGCCACTTCTCTATAAACTGCGCTAGATCTGAACTCACTATGAGTAGGTTCCTCTGGTTATGGACCGAAAACATTCTCCAGAAAACAATCTCACTGTTCAGCCTGCTCAATTCTAGAGAGAGAGCCGAGCCATAAATCTGGTTCCAGCTCGGAATTTCCTCAAAGCTCAGAGGTGTTTGCTTCAGCTCAAGCCTCAAGTTTGAATCTGGAGCAGCATGTTCCCAAAAGGCAGGCGTGGTCAGATCTGTGGGATTCATTTACTCCTGGTCTCTGCTTGGTTCCTCTGGACCTGGGTATTTTAATGACACTTGTTTGTGTTCTGCCATCACTTTTATGAATGGTGCTGGTTTGTATCCGGCATTGAGTTATTATCAAGGGGCATTATGTTCAATCCAACAATCATTTTCTCTGTTCTGTAGCACCAACGTTCCTTGTGCAGCCAAGCAAGTAAATCATTCAAGACATCTGACGAATGATGCTTATTGCACGGATAGTGGACCTGAAGGAGTTGCTCGTGTGCAACTATGAGCTGAATACCAGTGATGAACGAGGCAACAAAAGCAACCTAAAGATGATTTTTGGTTATATTCAAAGCTGTCAGAACGACGCAATAAATCAGATAGTTACTACCAATGAGGTGGAATGCTCTGTTCACCTCCTCTTTAAAAAACACATCTCTTTACAACTGGAGCAGATAGCCTAATGGTCTATGGCCTGGTCTACACTGGGGGGGTGGGTGGGGGTCAATGTAAGATATGCAACTTCAGCTACGGGAATACCGTAGCTGAACTCGACATATCTTATTCGACTTACCTCCCGTCCTCACGGCTGTGGCTCCCCCGTCGACTCTGCTACTGCCGCTCGCTCTGGTGGAGTTCCGGAGTTGACGGGAAGCGTGTTCGGGGATCGATATATCGCGTCTTAATGAGACGCGATATATCGATTCCCGATAAATCAATCGCTACCCGCCGATACGGCGGGTAGTCTGGACGTACCCTATATGCCTTATGTCTGTAACAGTAAAATTCTCTACAATTCCATGGCCAAATCCCAGCCGGGCCAGTGCTGTCTTTCAGGTAGAGAAATTGCCTACCATGCACTTTTTCTGAGTGCATGTTTTTGTGCAAGACCTTAAAAACTGAGATCTTGTCGTCGTCCCACTCCTCTCGCCACCCCCAGCAAGAATGTTAAAGATCCACAATATCTGTTAAACTAATGGCAGGACCTGCACATTCTGCAATTCTGTGGCTGTGGAATTTGCCATGCAATTCACCCCTTGTGACAGAATTGTGCTATAGAATCAAAGATCTCAAATAAATAAATAAATGAG